CACTTTGGCACACAGAATCTCTCTCTCTCACTAGCTTCCATTCCCTTTTTTCTTCTTCTTTTTTGTTCTGCTATTGAAAGAGGGAGAAGAAGAATTGCCTACGAGGCAAAAGAGCGGGAGGAGGAGGGGGAAATGTGTGCAATGCAAACGCAACGAACACACACACAGCGAGGCGGTGGTGATTTCAAATTGCCTGCTAATTAATTAGAAAGAGTAGTACAGCGAGCGAGAGTTGAAATTTGCGCAGTAGTGGCGTTCTAACCGAATCATCAAATCAGAGCTAGGCTAGCCAACTCAAACCACTGCACTGCACTGCACACTGAACACTAAATTGAATTGAAGCCTGAACTGCTTTGCTCACTTTTTCCTTCACGCTGCCGCTAAAACTGCCGGCACACGCACCAAACACACACACACACAGAGAAGTGNACACACACACACACACACACAGAGAAGTGAGCAAACCATTTGACGCTGCGTTTGAAAGCCAGCAAAAAGTTTGCTGGCCGAGAAAAGTTGCTGCAAAGACTGCAAAGGCTGCTGCTGCTGCTGCTAAATGGATCTTATTGCCATCGGCGGTGACATTTAAATTAGTATTTGACTGCTGCTGCTGTGTGTGTGTGTGTGTGTGGTGGAGCTGCGAAAAACACTGAGAGAGCGGCGGTGAATAAAGTGAAAAGGCATAAAAGCAAAGTGAAAGAAAAGAGAAAGAGTGGAATATATTCATTGTGCAGTTTAAAACTGCGGTGGCCGTGGCGGCGGCGGCGGCGGCGGCGACGGGACAATCAAGAGAGGCCTCGGGTTTTCAGTTAGCTCAAAAAGCTGTGAAAAGTACATCTGTGCACTGCACTCACACTACACACAGCAAAAACACATCGGCTTGTCAAGCTGCGTTTTTAAAAACCTCAAAGAACTGTCTAAAGACAAGCAGCAGACAGCACTTACCTAGGGTAAAGGAGGCCTTCCGCTCTCGCAGAGCATTCGACGCCCGGCGCTTGTAGTTGACGGTGGCCAGCGAGGAGCGCTCACTGGAGAGGCTCTTCTTCGCGCCCGAGATTCGGTGGTGCTGAATGTGCACCGACTGGGAGCGGCTGTGCGGGTTAAAGTGGTGCTGATGATGGTGATTTAGGTGATGATTTAAATGCTGCTGATGATGATGGGCTGCCTGGCCGCCGTGGTGACGCGTCAGAATGGGCTCCTTCCCGCCCAGAAAGCTGTTGCTGTGCGAGCTGCTGCTGTTGTTGTTGCTGTCATTGCCTTTGCAGTTTTTGGTGGTGGTGGTGGTGCCCGGAACTGATAGGCTGTTGTTGGCCGTCACCGGCTGCTCAGTCACCGGCAGTGAGCTGGTGGAGGACTTGGTGGAGGCGCCGCCGCCGCCGCCGCCTAGACATGAGCAACAAGCGGAGGAGCAAACGGTGGAGGAGCCATTTTGCCGTTGTCTGCCATTGGCATCGCCAGCAGAAGCGGCCACCTTCTTCGACTCCTTTCGGTCGCGGCGAATGACGTTGAGCATTCGCTCCACTCGCTTATCACTGCTGCTGCCGTCTTTCGACCGATGTTGCTTTGAAGTAGAAGATGATGAGGAGGACTTTCGTGAGGCGGAGGAGGAGGACTTGCACTTCTTTGCCTTCAGTGGGTGGTGGTGGTGGTTGTGGTTGTGGTTGTGATGATTAGGACATGATTGACTAGTTTCATTGTCACCAGCACCACCACTTCCCGATTCGGCGTCCTTTGGTACTGCTGCGTGATTCATTGCAGCGGCAGAGGTATTCGTGGTGGAGTTCATCATCAGCTGCTGCTGCTGAGGACCAGCCTCGATAGCTGCAGTTGAAGAACTGCCACACCCACCACCACCACCACCACCACCACTATGACTACAGCTCTTGAGCAGCGAGACACATTGGGAGGTGGCGCTGGAGCAGGAGGGCCGCTGGTCGCGCAGCTCCGCCTCCACGACCCGCTTCGCCGCCACGTAGATCTTGTAGTACATGAAGATCATCAGCGCCAGGGGAATGTAGAAGGCGCCCAGCGTCCCATAGAGCTGGTACCACATGTTCTGCGACACCTCGCAGGTGGGCGCCTCCGCGGAGCCGTACTCGTTGCCGATGAGCAGCACCGGCGGAATGGAGATCAGACAGGAGGCGATCCAGACGGCGGCGATGAAGGAGAGAATGCGCCGGGTGGTCCGCCGAACGCCGTACGTCAGCGGCTTGGTGATCGCCAGGTAGCGGTCTGATCCGGGGGAAAACAGTAGAAACAGAATTATTAGATTAGAAAGGTCAGACGCTGTCAAATCTAGTGAATCGATCATAATTTCCTCTCCTCAACTTACCAATCGAAATAGTGCAGAGATTAAGTATGGAGGAGGTGCAGCAGGTGACGTCGAAGCTGACCCACAGATCACAGACGGCGTTGGAGAGGACCCAGGAGCCGCCGTTAAGCTCGTACTGAAGGGCAAGCGGCATCACCAGAATCGCCACACACAGGTCGGAGATGGCGAGCGAGACCTGAGGGAGAATGAAAGATGAAGAGAAAGAAAAGTGCGTTATTAGATTTGGGTGTTAGGGATTGCTGTGTTGTTGTGTCGTGGTGGGGGATCAAGGATAATCTTGTTTACTTTAGGGTACAAGAGATATTTCAAGAAAACTGAGAAGTAGAACACTCGCACCAAAAACAAACAAACAAACAAAAGTGCCCTGAATCTGACGCCAAATGCACCCAAATGATTCCCTCTCGCTCACAATAGCATCCTCCTCCTCCTTCTCCTCCTCCTAATGTTAAAATAGCCGCCCAACTGTAAACACGTGTTTATATTTGAGATCTATTTTTGAACCCAAAAACTCCGTCCCAAAGCGATTTGAGGGTCCCAGATGGGGCCAAAACCAATCAACAAACCCAAGAAGGGGGAACTCCCTCTCAAGAAGAAAGTTCCACCTCCTCCTCCGCCTGAAGAGTCCGAGTCAGACGACGACTTGGATCCCGTTCTTAAGGCGAAGATGGAAAAGCTATTAGACCAACAAGACGACATCCCCAGCCTTGAAACAAAAGAGCTCATGCAACTCCACAATTACTGCACCGATGCAATCATGGAGGAAGGGCTGAAGAGGGTGACCACCCTTCTCAACGTGCTCGACAAAGTAGGGTTGGTGCTCGCCACCACTATTTACCAGCAGAACAAGCTACTGACCGAGCAGAGATCAGCGATGGCCAGACCAAAACCCACCTACGCTTCAGCAGCAGCTACAACAAAAACAACTCAACCACCACCAGTCATCAGAACTCACCAGAACGAGACGACGATCGTCGTCAAATCAAACAACAACACGAGTCCTGGCAAAGTCAGGGACGAGATGAAGTCTTTGATTCGTAAGTCCAAAGCAAACACAAAAATCAACAGCGTGACTGCCACTCAAAAAGTGGTATTGATCAAAGCCGAAACTTCTGAGAACAGTGACAAACTGGTGGAAGAGATCAACAAGAACAAAAGCAAATACCAGGCCTACAAGTCAAGGGGAATGAGGCCCACAATAGTGATCAAAGACATTGACGTAGATGAAGACCTAGCCACAATAGTGAAGCAGATTTGCAACAGAAACGACGAACTAAGCGACCTCGAGGAGGAGTTTGAGTTCATGTTCCAACTCAAAGGGCGCTTCTCCAGACCAGGCACCATTAGCCTGGCTTTCAGAGTGACGCCCATCGTCTTTAACTTGATCTTCACCAGCCTGAATGGCCTGATTCGCCTGGACACAAAACTTTGTGCTGTTCAGCATAGAGTGTTTGTCAGGCAGTGCCAAAGCTGTTACCACTTCGACCACAAGACCGGCGACTGCAAGCGCAAGCAGACCTGCAGAGTATGCGGGCAGGAGAAGACCACTGGTCATCAATGCACGCACCTCCAGTGCTGCATTAACTGTGCTGCATCGCCCAAGCACCAGAACAACAAGGACCACTACCCAAACACGGAGAGCTGCCCTCTCTATAGAGCTCATGTGCAGAGGATACTGGACCAAACACAACTTGCTCCAAACGGCTGACAATTTAAATGTTTATTTCTGAACCTCGATTTATTTTGTTAACACTACTTTGCGAAAGTAGCCTTTTACTGGCTAGTCGCATAATAAATAATCAATCAATCCTTCTCCTCCTCCTTTGGCCTTGACTCAATTTAATTAGGCGGCCATTATGGAGTCATTAGCGCGGTAATGATGCGATTCATCCTCTCTCTGATTCTCTCTGTTCCTCATTCTCATTCTGCTGCTGATTCCGGTTATGAATGTGTGGATGCACCCCAACCCCAACCCAAACCCTAAACCTCAACTCCCATTGCAGTCAGTCAGTCAGTGAGCAATCATTAATCAAAATCAACTCCTCCTCAAACTGCTCCATCCCTTTGGCTGCTCATTAGCTCAAAAAAGGCGCGCGCAAACAGTCACGAGTTTTAAAAAAAGTAAACTTCGTTTTCAATGGCAGTGTGCTAGTAGTGCCCATATTTTCCCAACCGATTAGCCGATTTGGCTGATACTACTACTACTCTGTGGAGAAAAGAAAAGGAAAGAGTTAATGAAGCAGAGCAAAAGAGTGGGGAGTGCATAACCCAAGGAAAGGAAAGAAAGAAGGAGAAAGAGAGTGAGAGTGATTGATCAAGACGAGCAAGTAGCTCTGAGCAAATATTTAGCATTGCTCTCTTTTTTTCAAACCCATCAGTTGAGGCCATTAAAAGCAGTAAAGGCAGATAAAATAAAACTCCGGTCGGTCGGTCGCCATCGAGCCTGGCAGGGCTTTGTACTGACTTTGTACCAAACAGCAGCAGCACTCTTCCTAAGAAGTACCCAAAGAGAGAGAGAGAGAGAGAGCGGGAATCTGCCTCAATTAATCTTACTGTAAGGAGGGAGATTAGGCAATGTGCAGTGAGTGAGTGAATCCCTCCATTCCCGTTCTACTGGGAAACCTGGAAAAGAATTCTTCTTTTGCTCTCTTTCTCTTTGATTCCCTGATTCTCGGCCTAGCTGCTTAATTGACGATGCTGCAAATTAATTTTGCTGCTGCTGCACTTGCACTTGCACTAAAATGGCGCACTCAGTTTTACAACCAAGTCCTCTAGCCAATCGCCCAAAGAGAGTGAAGTGTCCACTAGAAAAATAATTGACATCATTAGGTGGTGGTGGTGGTAGAGGCAAAAACATCACCGCCGCCGCCAAAAGAAACAGGGCAATAACAATAACAAGACTAGTAGCAAGCCAAGTAGTTGAGTGAACCAGTTGACACCCGATTCCGATGGCAGCAGCAGCAGCAGTAACACTTGAGTTCAAGTTAATAGCCCCTCAGTGTTAGTGAGTGAGTGAACGAGTTCGAGGGTCGTTCAGTGTTCGGTGTTTGGAGACTTGGTAGACTTAACTACAATAGTAGCAGTAGTTCAAGTAGAGAAATTAATGCGGGAAAATGTAATGTGTAGTTGGCCATTACAGAGTGCTAGTGCGTTCTCCGATGATGATGGATGCGGCTCAATGTTTGCCGCCGCTGCCGCCGCCGCCGTTCTAGTTCCAATGTTCCAATTAATACTCCCGGAGCAGTGTGTCGATTTAATATTAAAGTGCTACAAAAGGTGCAGGTGTGTGTGCCTGTGTATTAGTTCAATATTAGATCAGTTACGGCCTATTTTTGTTTCCTCCCTTGTGTCGACACACAATTGACACGAAACTGTGTTCACCTTTTGCTCCGATGCTTGATTGTAGGCGCTGCTACCGTCGTACACAATGGCTTCTTTCCTTTCCTTTCCTTTTTCAGTTTTCTGCTTAGGCTTCTTTTCTTTTTTTTCTTTTTTCACTATTCCTTTCATGTCTGCCCTTTTACCGTGCAGTCTGACTCTTTTTTTCTTTCTTTCTTTTCCTAATCGCCATTTAATCGAGTTTTCTCCATTTTTGCTGTTGTTGTGCCGCATTTTTATTTGTATTTGTATGTTTGCTGTTTTTTTGTTGTTGTTTAGTTGATTTTTGGTGCACCAAAAACTGGTCTGTTTTGGGCAATTTATTCGTTTTTACAAAATGTGTGAATGTACGCACACATTTGTAAAGCGAGAACAAAATCGCTGGCCTGGTTTTCCCCAGTGCCAGATCAACGTTTGCTTCACTGCAGCACATTATTCGGGTCTTTTGTTTAAAAATGTAACATTTTGTTGCCCTACTCTATTCTGCTGTGCTTTCATGTTCTGGCATAAAAAAGAGGCAATTTTTTACATTGCACACCAATTTTTTAAACTGACTGCTAAAATGATTAAACTCCAGTGTTATTGGGTAATAAAGCAGAAGCACTGCTGAATGTACACTTTATTTACATATTTTTCTCCTAGCATTGGTTTGCAACTAAAAAATCGACCCGTTGAAACTCATCTTTCAAAAAGAAAAAAAACTGTCTATGTGATGATCATGATTATTTGTG